CCTTTGCTATAAAAATGCGCTCCGCATTTTGGTTCCACAGGTGTGCTATAAGAGTGACGGTCAAATCAACTATTTGGTCAGATAAAAGTAGCCCAAAAGGTGGTGGTGGTGGGTGAAGTTGCCAACTTAGTCTATCGCTTTAAAATTAAGGACGGCAGTGGGCAGTTAGCCATTTGTGTATAGTTTTGCAAGGAATTCTGAATAAACAAATAGCCACAAAAATATTAGATACAATAATTGTTATTTCAACTGTTTTTGGAAAACATCCTTTCTATATTAATTGCTGACGAAAAATTCAGCATCTAGTAAAAAAAAATGAAATGATAGATTCTTCAGGTAGATGTTTCGTTTCAACGTTTTAATTGCGGAAATCGGTTATAGATGAGGTTGAAACAGTAGGTGAAAATACCTGTCAAATTATTGTAATTGTCTTTCAAATACTAGTCTTTAATTTCATAAATTATATCGATCGAAATAAAATACTTTTAACGCAGTTTATACTGTTAATGTCTGTTTTTGTAGTAAACTTTTAATGTTCATAAAATCAAAAACTTTTCACCAACACAAGGTTGTTCAATTTGTAACCAATTAATCTATTAGTAAAAAAAAAACTGAATATTTTTTCCATTCTATTTATTTTACCAGAGGAATATAACAGTTATAAAAAAAATTATACGATACATAATTAAAAAACGTTTTCCTCAGATGTTGAGTAAACTAAAACTGATCCTTAGATGGTGCTGCATTTACATTGGAAAGTAAATGTTTCTTTTACTTTCAGGTAAACAAATAGATGTATTATATCCTGATTTTTATGAGCATATACACTGTTATATATATAACAAAGCATGTCTTTTTAATTTAGTCTTGGCGGAATGTTTCTGACAAAACTAGAGCAAAGAGAAGATACTTTTATGTGTAAACTTCACTTATTTTGTTACCCCTCATTTTAATGATGTTAAAAGTTTTGAAATGACTAGTGATAGATTCTTCTTTATAAGCCCTTTTTTTCAGTTTCAACATATTATAAAAAAAAGAACTTACAGCGTACAAAACCATGGGACTGTCTGTCACTGTTCCTTTCTTTTGACTCTTTCAAGAGGTGACCATACCTTTAAATGGAAAGGAAATGAAACTGATGCTATCACGGGTACAGGAAGCTCGCGCTAAAATCTTGTAATTATAATATATTAGCTTTGATTTAGAGCTTTATTTTGAAGATGAAGGTCATTGATTTCAAATCTCTAATACTATCTAAGTAAGTATTTTCAATGAAATTATTGAGATGTAATGATGTAATTCGTGTGAGGTTTAACGTGAGTTAAAGTGGATTCAATACCTATTCCGTGTACTATAACAATATATGTATATATAATGTCAAGATGAATGAAACAGAGAAAGTAAGTATAAAAATATATATATTTAACACAGAACAAAAGTAATACGTCCAATTTTAAGTTAACACCTTCAAACACAATTCCACGTTTAGATAAGAGATATTATATACCAGCAAAGACAAATGATCTTCATACCCATGATGGCTCAAGTCCAGCGTTTGCTAGTCAGACAGTGGACGTTCTACAGTTATCAGCTGTTATTCATTCTGTTCTCTGCCAATCAACTTGAAAGGATTGTGTTTTCTTTCTTTGGGACAAGCTGATAAGGTACTATTACCTATATCAAAACATGATATGAAACTATTAGTTATATCATAAATTGATATGAAAATGTTAGTTATACCTTAAACTGGTATGTCATTGTTAGTTATATCATAAACTGATATGGCACTGTTAGCTATATCATAAAGTGATATTTCCAATATCATACCTTTCTTCTCAGAAGAACAAGAAGAGCAACTTAAGGTCTACATCGTAAAAATGGAGTCTTGTTTTCATGGCCTCACAACAGATGACGTAAGTTTGATGGCCTACCAACTGGTTCAACGAAATCAGATTAAGCACGCATTTAAAGGATCTGCAGCTCTAGATTGGGTAAAAGGCTTTCTGAAACGTAGTCCTTCTGTCCTTAAGTCCACTGCCTATGAAGGGGTTGGGGAATTCATCTGTGATAAATGCTTATAGGTTTTGTTTGCATTGGTTGCTGAAGATGTAGTCTCCCTCTGCAAAGGCATTATTGGATGTTTGGCTGCTTTTGCCCACACAGTGGTTATCTTTGTCCGAATGACTGATTCTTTTTGTCCGACGAGTTGGCAAAAGGAAACTGTTTGGATACCTTACCATTTTCGTTATTTTTTTGGGGGGGGGGGTTATTAAGCAGTGAGACTTTTTAACTTTTCTATAAAGGAATTTCATCTATTTCTACATCATTGGTAACTTCCAACTTTTCGAACTACAATATATATCGAGAATTTGTATTAAATAGATTCTCTTGACCGGTCTTCCCCTATATCATAGATTGATACGACAATGTTAGTTATATCGTAAACTGATATGAAATTTTTACTTATACCATAAACTGATATGACACTGTACGTTATATCATAAACTGATATAATTTAGTTTTTTATTATTTAGGGAGCATTATAAATAGTTATGTTTTTAAAAGAAAAAAAACTACAATTGTTATAAATAACACATTCAATTGAACTAAACTATGCATGCCTATTTAAATATATTTACACATGGCTTGTGTATATCGTATATATATATTATTCATACCTTCAGTGAAAAGGACGCAAGCAGATTTTGTCATCAAATTTTGGGGTAAAAAAGTGAGTCTTAAACACAGAAAAATACAGTAATTATACATAATGAATGATCATTTATGAATGTTTATTTATACTTTTGTAACATTATAAAGGTTTCTTTTTTTAGCATTTCTAGTAATTAAACAAGGTTATACTAATTTGTATTAACAACAAATCTTTAGGTCAACCGAACCAATTGTGTATTTTTCTTATAGCAAAGTACGGTCCACAAAACCTGGAAATTCAGGAAAGTTGGAATATAATACAAGGGTTTGTGAGACTTAATGTGAGAAAACATCTGTCCTCCAAGATATGAGCAATCTTGACAGAAAATCTGCTAGCTATCCTTACAGTTCCTGATGATTACAGGCTTTGTGAGAATCTTTACAGACATTGTATTTCAGTGACATCATGGTCTCAGGCAAAGTTTAGTAAAACAACCCTCCATCAATCAAGAAAAGAAAACGATTGTATTCACTCCAGTTATTTTCGTTTTTGGGTTGATGACCACCACTGGATTCACCATATATCAGTGCATAATCAGTAAAATTTGCAAGAGGGTTAACTCTCTCACAATAAGGTTTGTCAAATTGACTGCTTTTGTAACCATTTTATACTTGTTACAGTTTCCATATTATAACTTTTATTACAGTATGTGTATCTTCACAAAATTTGGCAGTCTTTTAGTAAACATTACAAATCTTTTGTACACAAAATTTTAATTTTTTAATGAAATATTTTTAATAAAAATTAGTCCATGAATATATATATTCTTTTTACTAGTCCAAATAAAAAGTGATTTCCACGTTAAGATTAAAAATATTTTCTTCATCTCGAAAATTTCAAATTTCATTTGTGTAATATCTGAAACCTCCTGAATAAATTTCAAACAGTTTTTTTTTCAGTAAAACTTTATATTTTATCTGTTATTTTCTCAACCCCAACTCTATACAAAATTGGTCAGTTTGACCAATCTCGCAACCACACACAGAAATTAAAGTACCCTTATTTTCTTTCTAGAAGGACTTCAAGTTGTAACATGAAACTACATTTGTTTATCCTAAGTAGCTTTAAACTGATAACAGTATACATCTATTTATACTTCATTGTTATATTTCCCTTTGAACTGTGTCTAACTATCATTCAAGCCATAATAAGTTGCAAATCACTTGGCAAACATGCAGCTCACTTTACAAATAAAACTAATCATGAGCATATCTTGTGAAAATTTTTTATTTTCTTATTATTTATATTATCTAATCTAACCTTAACTAACCTAAAAAGTTTCACATTTTAGTTATTTTGTGATAATAAATAAAGAATACACATGAAAAACAAGAAATAAAGTACTTACCTGGATCTTGTTTTTTCTGTCAACTGTTGATGACACATAACCATACTTTTTTTTTATAATAATGGTACTACTGCATTAAATAATTTTTTATTTAATTAAATAATGCTCCAAAGAATAAAGAACAACAACATACAAAAAGTAGAATATGAACCACAACTATCACAAATTTTCTGGCTTTTTAACTAGAAATTCAAGTAAGCTTATCAACTCGTTTCCTGTGGGAGTAAAGCTTGAACTGGAAATGAAACTGACAATTCTCCATACAGCAAACAATGACAGAGTAAAACCTTGGCTTTCTAGTGGTTATAAATAATTATTAAACATCAGAAAGAACTATTGGAAATTTCTGAAAGAGAGGATGTAATAGGTGAATGTAGCAAGAGAGGTCTGATTTTCTATTTGACAGCTCTGTAACCAAATAAGATTGAAAGCTATAATAAAACATTTTGTTTTGCTGGAGCAATGACAACATTATAATGAGTAATTTATGTTAAATTTATTACATCTTGAAGCAGTAGCAAATAAATTATTGATGTGGGAATACCTAGAGAGAAAATCTCCCAATTCTCATACTAGGAGAAATTCAGGATTTTTTTAATATTGCCTTATAAAATCAAGAACTTAAAACTTATAAATATTAAAAAATGGACAATTAACTATGATTTTATACTATATTAGTCTACCATGATAAGAAAGTGGTTTAGTTAAATTTTGAATGCAATTCACTAAAAACCTTGTGACATGCACACAAAAGGATGCTCGTAGTGAGAAAGTTAAGGAAATACTGTATGTGTGCTTCCTGGAGGTAGAATACCATACATGACCTGATTAACTCAGTTATAATGTATGGATTTTGGTGAAACACATTAATCTATGGTCTCTGAATAGGACTTTTTAATAAAATACAGAAAAGTTCAGTTTATAATGAATTATACCTACTTGGCCTTTTTTACAAGCAGATGCTAGCTTCTTTCCATTAGGTGACCATGCTATGCATAACACCCAGTTTGTGTGTCCTAAAAGTAATATTACAAATTTCATAAACATGATCTTAATGACTCCTTATTTCATACTTGATAGATTCAAAAGATGTGTTCAATAAGAAGGTTACATATAATGAAAATTAAGGAACTTATTAATATCAGGAATGTCCAAATACCATTAAAAACCTCAAGGTCTTTTACTTTCTTAAGTAACTGTACACAAACAAGAAAACAATTTGAGGCTCAACTTCAATATCTCATATCTCATCTAGGTTTTGTTTGAAAAAAAGAATAAAGTTTCACATTCACAGTAGATACATATATAAATTTTAACATATTTATGATATTAATATTTCACTAATTTGGTTCTGAAGAGAAGTAAACTTTACTTGAACCACATCATATCATCAAAAATTAAAACTACTTGTAGTATGACAATAAACACATAAAAATAATCAACTTTTTGTATTATGAATAAAAAACACAAAATCCAAAGCTTTTGTTTGGCACAATTAGAGGTAAAATCGTTAATATTGGTTATAGCTGACTAGTTTTGGTAACATAGTTACCAACATAAGGGCTAGTGTCAGATTTTGTTTTGTTTTTTACTCTTAATATATAAGCACAAGATGTTTGAAAAGGAATTACAACTTTTAGTACTTTATATATTCAACAATCTATATATTTCTCTTAAAACAGTATTTTCAGAAATTCTTTCAAAGAATGGCATTAACCACAAATAAAATCCCAATTCCTTTAGCAATTACCTCAAAATTAGGTTTTAACAATCAAGAAACTATTAGTAATTAAAATTAATATTAGCTGATACAGGTTAAAGAGCTTAAGGTATTGAGGTACATGTATTCATTCACCAAGTTTCAATTAGCTGAGAGAAACTCTTTAAAGAGCACCAAACCAATTTAAGGAAAACAAAATTAAGGTATTTTCAGTACTTCACTGCAATAAGCAGATTCATTTGTCTAGTGTACAAAACAAATTCAGGAAAATGGCAAATTCGAATTTTTGAACCCTAAAATCATAAATTGACCTTACAAAAATTGACATGTTTTGGTGGTAACTTTGAACAAGAGAAAACCTACTAGACCAATTTCTCATAGAAAACTTAAGTTTAGAGTTCAATCTTTTGTTTTTATAAATGCAACAAAACTCCCAAAATGTCTTGGTATTGATGAAAGGTGTTCTTAAAACTGGACTGCTTTGGCTCAGGGCCATTCCATTTTGACCTTGATTTGCTCTGTGAAAGTATGTTTGTGATATCTATGACACCCTGCACACTTAGCAGAAACAGGAATAAATGTTCTTTAATTATTTCTTATGACTTTCATTGGTTAAGGTCTCATCAATAATATCTAAGTATATTACTGAATGGTCTAAAACAATGCAAATGGTTACCATGAAAAAATAAAGTATTTTATTTTCAGTATTCCTTCTACTTTGTAATATTCTTGTCCTCTTTTGATTTGATTCAAATATTTTTGTGCAACATCACTTTCTGATCAGTTTAACTTAGCAGGAATCCCACTGACTGCATCGATCAACATCACTTGCAACAAAGACTACAGTACGCATGACTTTCAAATATCTTCCCACTGAGATAGTGTTTAGCACTGAAAACAGATCTTTTATATGTAAATTACTTTGCACAAAGCAGTGGAATTTCACAATAATATTGAAAAAATGGGGGAAAAGAACTCATTTTCAAATGCAGCTTTCTATGTAAGAGGTGAACCAATGAGCATAAAAGTTGCATTACTCAAAAGCTCTAATACTAAATTATCATTGAAAGCCAATTTTTAGAGCTTTATCATTTGCAAGATATTTTAATGAGCAATACAGCCTGTAATTTCTGTATGATCTACTGTCAATTTTAGAGTTAAATATAAATAAAATGAAGTAAAAAGTAATAAGTAATAGGCTTAGCAACACAAAACAGAAAAAAAAAGTTTTAAAGTCTGCAAATTTCAAAGATAATATCATTCAGTTAAGAACTGAATAAAAAGCAAAACTAAATATTAGGAAGTTGAGTCTTGATGAGTTGTTTTAATTCAATAATTATTTCATACATTTGGAACTCGAAATAGTTAAACCTCTCTACCTTTGCATGTAAACTGAGGAGTTTCAGTGTGAATATCCCAGAATCTGACAGTTGTGTCTCCTGAACCACTTGCAAGAAATCTGGGTGAGATATATATTAATGTTCACTTTCAAGGACCTGCACAACAAATATAAAAAAATTGTCTTTTTCATGACATAACTATTTTACTCTTTAACTTATTCACCTATAAAAGACTTCCTTGGCATACAAAGAAAAATAGTTGAATATTTGAATTTCTTTGATTCACTGAAGTTTTTTGTATAATACCCAAAGGCATATACATGTGTATGTACATACATATAAGCACACACACACACACACACATATATCAGTCCACATCTAATTGTTAAAACACTTAAGTATTTTATTTTATACAACCTATCTAAATTACTTTACTTACATATCTTTACTTGCATGTTTCTTTAATCATTAAGGGGTAAGTGACAGTATTAGTCAAGTTTACTTTTGTGATTTAAACTATCCACATTAAAGCATTCTCTCAACAATATACAAATACTAAATGGTTTAAACCATGTTTTTAATTGGCCTTATCACAAAATAATACACTGATAAGAACACAGACTAATTTGATCTTGTCTGCATATCACACACACACATGCATAATTTGAAGTCTTAATTCACATATGCTAACAAACATTTTTAAACTAAGATTTAAATCCATCTAAATTTCTGCATTCATATATTTAAATATCTGAAGCTCCTGGAGGGATACAAGACTTCACTGTTAATACAAATATGATTCATGTTTACAAAGACTAGTCTTGTCGTTAAACTTTTTTCTTCTTCTGTTGATTTAAAATATTTTATTCAAATACTTCAAGCTCATACTAACATTGATTAGTTAAGTTATTATGCAAAAAAAATATATAAATAAACATTTATGGCATATCATTTATTATGGACAAATATTTCACTGTCTTACCTCCCATCTGGACTAAAAGCAACTGATATAACAGCTTCTGCATGACCTGGAATTGAACTTGTACATCTCGTAACTGCCTGTACTCGGAAAACAGCTTGCGCAGCATATACAATTTCAACTACTTTCTCTGATTCAATAGGTTTCCCTTCCAATGCTTTTTTCAAATTTTCAGTTATTTCAACTTCATTGACAAAAAAAAGATATGGTGTCTGTTCTCCCTATAACACAAAACAAGTGAAAATTACAGATTGTTTCATGTTATACATGTAAACTGAAGTATAAAATCTTGACACTGTGAAATAAAGTCAAATTTATAACAGCATTTAACCAATCTAATACCAATGTATATGTACAAGTAAGTAGCAGTTCTCATTCTACTGAAACATAGCACATTCTGAAATGGTTTTAAATGTAGCAATAAAAGTAAAAATCAAGCACTTGTTTACAGGTATTTAAAACAGCAAGTACACTTTAAGTTTCCTCAGTGTTTTTTGAATTTTAGAGTAGGATTTAATAGAACATGTAAAAAAATGCATTTTAATATCTATCATATAAAACTAATTAGTGCTTTTTAATAAACAAACAAATCACAAGATAAATGCCATTTGTTACTTTTTAAAGATAAAACTACTTATCAAATTTAAATTTAATGGTGAAAACCAATTTTATAAATAGCTCAGAGAACACCATCTTATACAATGAATTTGAATAAATACAATTATTTGAATGAATATTGGTAATCTATTGAGATTTTATTTGATAGTTTTTTTTAGGCTACATTCTTATGGAATCAGTAAAAAAGTTCAAAAGTAGACGAAAAAAACTGGCTTGATAGTATAAAGTTGGCAGTGGTGATAACTGGTCATTTTCCTGTTACACATGAACTATTGAGATCTTTCAAGTGCTTGTTTTGTGACGTTTTTGATCATTACTTGTACCAATTAGTTGAGAATCTATTTGGTCAGTAATATTTACAAATTTGCTGATAAAGATAGAATGATGGAAAATGCTTCTTTAATCCTTACAAGTAGCAAAAAAATAGGAAAACAAATTTTATAACTTAAAGTATAAACTAATGCACTTAAGTAAGAAAACTTGGAGAAGCTATAGTTCTTCTGTAGTTGTGTGTTTGAATTTCTCCAAGTTTCCTGCATAGCACTAAACTAGCAATGTTACATATAAGGTATGTACACGCACATCAGTCTATATTGTAACTGTTGAACCACTTTAGCATTTTAGACAAAAGTATATGCATAAAAAAAAAAGCTGAATGAGGCTAAATTTCTTCTTTATTTCATATTGAACTACTACTTCTTAGTTAAAAAAATTCATGACACACAAGTCTTTTTTAAGGTAAACCTGGTGAGAAAAGGAAACTTAGTCGATGACTGTCATAATTATCATCTGGAACAGTCAAAAGAAGAAGAGTTTACTTTTTATGTAAATACTTAAATTTCATATTTTAAAAATTAATTCTAAACTTCACAGTTAGATTGCCATTCAGGCCAACTTGATGGTTATGTTCCTGAATGCAACATGACCTATCTGATATAAATAAGACATTGTCTTATCATGTGATGGTTTATTTACAATATTGTGCAAGTTAGTTTTTTTATTACATGAGTATGAAATCTAAAAACACGCAGTGCAACTTCTACACTAAGCCTGCAGGATTAGGTAATGAAAACTGATAATTCAAACCTTTTGTAACAATGCATTACATATAAGCTGGAGTTTTTCAACAGTTATATCCAAGGGTAGTTCAAATGGAGCTCCTGTTGTTTCACCTGCTTCACTCTTAAATTGAGCAAAAATTCTCTGTATGTTGGAATTCTCTTCGACTTCCATATCTTCAGATAGTCTCTATAAGAAACAAAAGAAATAGGAAAAAAATACCTTGTTGTCATACACAATATATTAAAATACCCACTTAAACAAAAACACATTAAGATCATAGTAGATCTTCCAACTACTCAACCCTCCAAAACATTTAAACTTACAACGTGATTGAAACTAATTTATGCACATGAACAACTATGAACAAAGATTAAACATTCTTGAAAATAATAAAGATCAGAGACAACTATCCTGCCACCAAAATCAACTGTATTCAGAACTTCAACTATCTAAAATTATGTGAATTCTTATGGGTAAAATAATAGTGAGAAAAAGGAAACTCATTTGATAAGTATCTTAACTGTTCATTAAAACATTGATGCTTAATTTCTGAAAATGATAGATAGCAACAAAAAAAAAGATATTTAATTTTTTTTGAGATACTGAAATTTAATTGCAAACTTAACAATTAGATTGCCTTTCTGTCACTTTGTTCAATGCAACAAAACATCATCTACCTCATAAAAGAAAAACATTTGACCAATTATGCCATGAATGAATATGTAACACACCAGTTCTTGTTCATACACAAATACATCTAATGAGACAAATTTAACAAGATAATAAAAATACACACATAAAATGAAAAGTCCATGTTACGAACTACAGAATTCTTGAAATATGACAAACTTATCAATTGAAACTACAGAAATATTAAAAAATCGACTGAATCATATACATTTATCAGAGAGATCACATTTCCCTGACTTTTCAGATAAAATTCCATATTTTTTCAGATATGAACACCCAACACTAATATTTCAACTTTTCTTCATAATTCTATCTCATTAGCACCACTTTATCTTATAATCTGGTTGCAAATAGTAATAAAAAGTTTAGAACATACTTAGTTCAGACTATGGTAAGACAAAAATATATCTTAAAAACACTGCAACTTGATGGTAGACAATGAAATGTTTTGGGGATTTTAATTTAGGTCAGTATTGAATTATGTAAAAAGTTCTACCAGAGTAGTTGCTAAAAAATCTATAATAACAATTAATAATAATTAGCCTTAATTATGAGTAACAGACAAACCACAAAAAGCCTCTATGACCTTAGGTCACCATTTTGGTATCTTTGCTGTTAGTGCTGTTTTCTGCCCTTGAAGTAAAATCACATTACTGAAGAGGAATTTGATTAGGTTTATGTTATGGTGAATAAAGCATAATTGATGGCATAACAGGAATGTTTTAATACATAGTCCATTTATATATGTGTATTTACAACAGCCAGTTTAGGCTTACATGGAAGTGTCACGTAATAATTGTAATTATTCTAATTAAGAATATAATTCCTGTTAGTTTTACTCTTATTAGGTTAATCTTACAATATAGTTAATGCAAGCTGTATTACAATTACTGAAATTTTATTTTTATTATTACTGTGATTATTCTTATGCTTTATTATCTCAAACAAACTTAGGCAAGTTTTTGTGTTTAACTTTATTTATTAATTCCAGCTTCCTGTTTAGTAAATTAATCATGCATGTAGAGGATAGTTAGTTGGATTAGTTGTGTTAGATACAACCCATAGTATGTTTAGTAAATTATTTTTCTATTTATTACAATTAACTTTGTTATTTTAACTGGAGTATTAATATTTAACTACTTATTACAAAATGTTGTTGTTGGTACTATAGCATGCAGTCTACACAGATACTATCATCATCACCATTTTATCCTTCATTTATTTGCAATTGGTGCCATTTATTATAAATAATGCTTTTAAACTAATAAATTACAAAATATCATTACACAATGTTTTGGAGGCAAATATAATCAGAATGAAATAAATTACAACAATCAAAACTAGCACAATTATAACCTAAATTTAAAGCACTTTTTTTGGAACATACAACTTATTAGATTATTATTATTTGCTGAAGAAAAATGTGAATAGATATAAATTTTTTAGCCAAAAATTATGTTTCAGTGAATCATTAAAATGGTAGTGATGATAGTAAATGTGTAGACTGCATGCTATAGTGTAAATATCTTTGTAGACCACATGCTATAGTAGCACCATGTTTTGTTTTTTTTATGTTCATAAACATTAGTTCTATTCTGTACTTTCCTTCTATCCAACTCTATACTTCAACAGTAACATGTCATAGTAATTTATCTCGGATGTCAAGCTACTGTTAAAGTTACTGTCTAGATCTTGTTATGGAGAATTAAAAAATGTTTTACATTCCTTATGATACACTTTTTATGGACAGGGAAATCAGTAATCGCACATGAAACAAAGAAATAGCTTTTATGTTTTGTAAGAAGTTGTTATTTTTTCATTGCTAGTTTCTTTAACAGTATTGACTAAAATGTTTTATATATATTTTATTACATGTTATTAATTTGCATTGTTGATTTAGTATATGAATTGAGGACTAACCTAAGTCTGAGCTGCAAAATTGCTTAAGGTACTATATGATAATATTGTTAACAGTGGAGGTATTCAACTGATAAACTAATGCATTGTAGCAATTACAAGATTTTGTTTGAAGAATTTACATATTCCTAGTATGAATAGTATATCAAACTAACTATATTTATTAATTTTCAGTTTGATCTGTGTAATTAGCTTGCTCTGATTAAAAGCTATTAAATTAAAGAATGAAAATAATTTACACTAGAATTACTTGTTCCAGCAGAACTGAATTGATCAAAGTGTTACTATTTCATGGCAAAACATCAACACTGCAATTTTTAGAATGACAAACATTACTAATACATTAAACAAACACATATACACAAAAGAACAAAAACTGAAGACAGTCCATTATAATTTGCATACACTCTAAGTTAGATAATTATTACACAAGCATGTTAAAATTATTCATGAAACAAAATATTGATCAAATAAAACTGTGTAAAGTTATAAAGTGTATACTGATTCTTGACAAACCAAAAAGTTTTAGAAAATTAGTAAGATTAAAAACACTTTCATATTTCAACTTGGAAAATTTGACCCTTTTCAGGATTACCACTATGACGAGTTAAATACCCTACACTATTCAAAGTTTATTATGGATGTGATGATTTTTATAATTGCTTGAGAAATGTAATACACATGTGACACTAGAATATTTTGTGCCAATGTACTTAGCAGAGTTAAGGTTTATATATTTGTAAAGTAGTAAAAATAAGTATGGAATTGCATAATGAGAACTTAGCATCATCATGTGAAACTGGGCAAAAGTTGTCAACAATCGCAAAACAATGAAGTGGAAACATCTTAAAATGCAATACAAAAATGTAAAAACAAATGTCCAAACCAATATAGTCACGAGTGTTGTCTAACTGCATACTAGCATTCAAATGGCACTGAAGATAGTTTGCCCCTTCAATTATACATCAGCATAAGTAAGAATCTGCAACAACAAATGAACATATTTGAAATTATTAGAGGGCCTGCTTCAGATAATTGAACCCATAATGTCCTGAACCAAACTAAAAATTCACTGTGTGCAAGCACCTGAGCCAGGCCCTTTAATAATTTCAAATCTGTTCATTTGCTGTTGCAGATTTGTACCCATGTTGGTGTATAACTGAAGAGATGGAATATCTTCAACATCCTCTGGATGCTATTGTGCATTTATACACACTATATAGATTGACTTTTTTTTTTGGCATGTCTTGCCTTTACATTTTTGGATTACATACATACTTATATATAAATTACATATATAGTTTAAAATATAAAATTACAAGAACTGTGAAGAGTAAAGATGTTGCACTTTGCACTTATTCTTTACAACTGTTAAAAATATATTTAATTTACAATACTTGTACTACTAGATGTACTAGAACTTAGATATTAGAATGTTAAGCCCAGCAAATTTCAATATTTAAAAATATTTTAAATCACATAATACTGACTGATGTTTAGAGAACATAATTAAGAATACATTATATGACCTTGAGCCCCGGGCCCGGCATGGCCAGGTGGATAAGGCGCTCGACTCGCAATCTGAGGGTCGCGGGTTCGAATCCGCATC